AGACTGTCTTTCACTCACTTATCACAGAGATGATGGTGGAAACTCATAAGAAAACCTTAAAGGAAAATGATAATGTGAGAAACGCCCACAATGTAATCCCATTACTCAATGAGAGCTTTCCTGGACTTCAGGCTTTATATTTCAAAAGTGAATAATATATACTCTGGAGTTACCTTAAAAGATATTAAATACTCTTTAAACAAATTGGTAAACAGAGGAATTTTGCTAGACCAGATAATAAGATACTGAAGTAGCTATTTACAGCACTACAGACAGAATTTGTGGTAGGATATCGACTCCCCCTATCATCCACAGCCAGAATGCCCTTTCTCACTCTGTAGGCAGCAAGAAGAGTTTACAAGGAATATCACAGGAAAACCATTGTTTTCAATGTACATGAGCTCTGGTATTATAATTTTAGTTGTTGCAGGAAATTAAAAAGCATCTATGTTTTATTAAATGACTGAACCATAAAAAAATACTTCATTAATGCTGAAAAAAATGGTTTTTGTTAATATGCAGAAGCAGTGTAAGACCAGGAGCAGCATACATATAACTGGAGGGCAAGAACCTTTCTAATTAAAGCTATACAAATACTAGGCTTCCTGACTGTAGGACAGAAACAAAACTTATTCACCTCTATGACTAGCCTATAATAAGGCAAAATCAAAAGCAGTTAAAACTGTTTAAAGCCTTAGCATTTCTATTCTGAGTGTAAGCAACAAAAACCAAGATGTTTTCCTCTGATATTCTTAGACAGACAAAAAACTCCCCATAAGTTCATTTAAATAAGCCTTTGACTTCAGGCAGTCAAAGGGATGCTGGTTCCAACATCAGTATCAGCAGAAGTGAAATACATAAGGATACTTAAAAAAAAAAGTTGTTTCTCTTTAAAGTAGAAGTTAATTTCAGCACTGGTGCTAATGTGGCAAAAGTGAAGTTGCATCACATGATTCAGCAACTGAAAAGATAAGGCAATTTTTTTTTTTTTTGCTCTCCCCAAAGTTTACAGAGACTTTTTTTTTTTCAAATTAGAATGACTCTACATGTACTTAAGTATACATTTTTTAATATATTCCATTAGGATATCCCAGGTATAAATTCCAAAGATACAGTAAGACTCAAACCAGATATGATATAAAGAGGTAATGCCACATTTAATACTTACCATTTTTAAAAATGTGTTAACAACACAAGGAGGTGAAGATTGCATGGGAAAGCAGCACATACCTTTGGGTCTGCCAAAGCGTTAATGACATTTCCAAGAGCTAGCAGGGAGCGGTTAATATTTGTTCCTTCTCTAAAACGAGCCCCCTTGGCATTTGTCGCACTGGCACGTTCAGATCCTGCCAGGTCAATGAGAGACATTTTGGCAATGCGAACATTTTGATTAATACTAGCTGTTTTATCTTGCTGCCTTAGATAAATCTAGAATAAAAAAAACCAGAAAATTATTAAAAAGTAACCACTAACCAGTCTGTTGTTACCCTAAGCATTTTACAGTGTAACAACTGTTTTCAGAAATTCTTACTGGAATCCTTGTTGGAATCCAAGTTAAACCTTTCAGTACCTATCTAACACCAACAGGCAGTTTGGCCTAATGAAAGATAGTGAATCCATTTCTGACACTTACCTCTTAAACTCACCTGCTTCAGGTATTAGTAGGGAAAAAGAAGCAGAGTGTAGTTGCACTGGGTGTGGCTGGAATGGAGTTAATTTTCTGCCCGTATGGTGCTTTCAGATTTGTGACCCAAACAGTGCTGATAACACACCAGTGTCCAGCTTTTGCTGAACAGCAGTTGTATAGTGTCAAGGTGGTGGGCAAGAGGTTGCAAGGGGACAGCTGACCCTAATTGACTGAAAGTTTCCCCAAAGTTTGGGGGCTGGCTGGGCATCAGTCTGCTGGTGGCAAGTGATTGTCTCCCCCCACGTCCTTCACTTATTAAGAGAACCACAAGGTATTTCCCTCTCCCTCTTGCTTTTGCCCTTTTGATTCTCTTCCCCATCCTGCTGTAGAGGATTAAGCAAGCAACAGGGCTGGGGTTTACCACAGTGGCAAAGACTGGTGAGCTTCAAATGAATTTTATAGCTAAAATCACTCTTGATTCTTCCACACTCGAGATGTATACCACACTATTGCACTTCAAACTGAAAAAGGTGTTCATTTTTTAAAGGCACCTTTAAGAGTATGCCGTAAAGAGAGATATATATAGGGATAAACCAGGAAAAAGGCTGGACTTTCAGTGATTTAGACTTAACTGTAACTACAAGGAGAACAATACTTGTTTATGGCTGTGAAAACACATACTACTCCAGGGTCTTTTGGAAAGCTGTGACCCCTGAGGCCACTTGTTCCCCCTAATCCCTTATTTCCTGAAATTTTCGTGGTACAGGAGATACACAAGGAACTAAATGCTTTCGCTTCGTACTTTGAGGAAATAGGCAGAGCATGGTTATACAGTCAATAAGAAGAATTACTGTTATCCTTAGATGGCTTTTACTTTTTCAGGATTCTCTACAAACTTCCCCTTCTTTTGTGTTGAGTGCCTTGCCATTTGTAAGTAACATTACTGACACTTTCATGAAC